CTCGGACAGACTGTGCGCCCTCCGCGCCGCGCCGGGACCATGACGGTCCCCAAGGAGATGCCCGAGAAGTGGGCCCGGGCCGGGGCGCCTCCCTCCTGGAGTCGAAAGAAGCCCTCATGGGGGACAGGTAATGAGAGGCAGCTCTCGCACCCCGACCCCCGCTCCGTTCTCCACATCCCCTCTCCGGGGCCTCCAGCCTCCTGTTTTCTGCCCAGACCCAGAGATCCCAGCTTTGAAGGACGCATCCCCACCTTCCTCGGCCTGGCCTATGGGCAGGGGCTCCTCTGGGGAAGTTTCTGTGGCAGCGCTGTCCTGGGGTCCTGGTTCGCTAGGCGGGGGTCGCTGTAGCCTGCAAGCTGCCGCTGCAGTGCGCTCTGCACCTGGGGAAGAGGGCTCCGAGCGCCGCCTTTGGCTCTTGGAGAGATTTAAGGTGCTGCGTTTGCTGCCCAACTGAGTTCCTCCCTTCTCCATTCTGAGGTCATTGTGACCCCAGGGACGTGGGAGGGGACCCCTTCAGAGGACATTCCCTGTAGAGGGACCTGAACTTGGTCCCTCTGGTCTGGGACCTGCAGAGGTTTGGGTAGGTGTAGGGAGCGACCGTGAGCTACTGAGAGACAGTGTGTGTAGACGGTACAGGAGAGGCTGCAGAGTTCGAGAGTGGCTGTTTGGGGTGCATCTCCTCCTGTCTTACATCTCTGCCTCAGTCTGTGACCCACATCCCTCTGCCCCACCTTCCCAGCCTGAAGATGAGCTGTGAAATAGATGATGTCACTGTCGGCCAGTCAGAGCTGCTGCTGGTGACACGTGACGAGCAGAGGTTCCCTTGGGGACCTGCACGTGGGACTGGGACGCTGCCGCAGAGCAGCTCCAGGGCACGGTGTCCCCAGTCTCCACCGCAGCCTTGTCCTCTGCAGCCCACCAGGAGGGCGGGCGTCGTCCCCGAGGGGAGGCACCGCGTCTGCAGCCGCTGCGTCTTGGTGGCAGTGCAAGGGCCTTGGAGTCCCGGCGACGACAGTGGCTGAGGCTTTTCCAGAGACGGGATGGGGAGGGGGAGCGCCAAGTGGAGGATCTTGGCTCTTCGGAGGGAACAGAAAACGGGCTTTCCTGTGAGGGCAGCTGTCGGTGAGAGGTGGGCTGAAGAGGGGGAACGGAGGCACAGCTGTGGCGCCAACTCTGTAGAACCGTACTTTGAATAGAGCCAGTGCCCTCTGGGTCCTCCACAAAGTAGGACCCTTGGCAGGACAGTCTGCTCTGCCTAACTGCGGCCGCTCTGTTGTAGAAGAAGAGAGGAGGGCACGGGCTAATGACCGAGAATACAATGAGAAATTCCAGTATGCGGTAAGTGACCCCAGCGACCTGGCTGGGGCGGGAGGGAGAAGTACAGGGACGTCCTGGGCTGGGACTGACGGCTGACAAGGGGACGTGTGGGGAGGGCGAAGGCAGCCTTCTTGGCTGCTTTTATCTGCTACAGTGCAGAATTTTTCAGGCCTTCATTGGTCAGTGAAGCAGGGTATGTGACCCTAGGAGACCCCCATTATTGGCGTCTGGGGCAGCCAGTCTCAGGTTCTGGGTTAGGATTGGGGGCCACCTCATTATTTTCTCTCCCACTGCCATAGAGCAACTGCATCAAGACCTCCAAGTACAACATTCTCACTTTCCTGCCTGTCAACCTCTTTGAGCAGTTCCAGGAAGTTGCCAACACCTACTTCCTGTTCCTTCTCATTCTGCAGGTGAGTGGCCCATCGTGTATCCACTGTGACTCACGAAGCCAAATGAAAGCCAAAGAAGAGGAGGATTAAGTGCAGGAAAGCATTGGATGGGCCTCAGAAGCATACTTCTCTTTCTTCTTCTCAGTTGATCCCACAGATCTCTTCCCTGTCCTGGTTCACCACCATTGTGCCTTTGGTTCTGGTCCTCACCATCACAGCTGTTAAAGATGCTACTGATGACTACGTGAGTTGTTTTCATTCTTCTGCTTTTACCCCCAGTGGCCCCTTTCCCTGACCCCCAATTTAAGCCCTCTTCACCCAGCACAGTTCCTTGGTGACCTTGCCTTCCCTCACCTGGTCCCCCTAGATCCATGATACCTTGGCTGAGGGGCAAGAGAAGGGTCCAAGAGAGTTGGTGTGTGGACAGGTGTAGACAAGGTGCTCTCCAGCATGCTTAGAGTTCCCCCGATGGCCCTGTTCCCTTGGAGCAGGGAATTGGACTTTATCCTTCTTGTTTCCCTTCTTTTTAGTTCCGACACAAGAGTGATAACCAAGTGAATAACCGTCAGTCTCAGGTGCTGATCAGTGGAATGTGAGTGTCTGTTGGAGATGGTGGCTTTGTGAGGAACGGGGTCACTTGGGAATGTCCGTAGCTACTGACAGTCTCATCACTGTCTTCTTGTTGCTGTAGCCTTCAGCAGGAGCAGTGGATGAATGTCTGTGTTGGTGACATTATCAAGCTTGAAAACAACCAGTTTGTGGCGGTAAGGGACAAGGTACCCCTCTGGGTCACCAGGGCTGCTTTTCCTCTGGGCAGAAAGATCTGAGTCCTCCCTACTTTTGTCTCTTGAACACTGTGAAAGGAGACTTTCTTGAGAGGGAAGGTTCCTCTGTCAGATGAAGACTTTGAGTAGCCATTGATGTGCCTGGAACCAGGAGGCAGAGCGTGCTTAGTGGGGACCATCACCAGAGCCCTGGGGTGGGCTGGGCGTTGCAGTCTTCACTGGGTTTTTCTCTGTAGGCGGATCTCCTGCTCCTCTCCAGCAGCGAGCCCCATGGGCTGTGTTACATAGAGACGGCAGAGCTCGACGGGTGAGTAGCATGCTCAGCATTAGCCCTCTCCTGCCTCCCTAGGAGAAGGAGATGGCTTTGGAAGAGGTTCTCAGGTCTGAGCTCTGTCATTTGTGGTAAAAGTTGGGGATCAGAGAGCCTTTGGCTGTGTAGAACCCTTGACTGGGCTAAGCGGTGGCACCTGTAGTCAGGTGCCCCCCAGCTCAACTGGAGAAGTGGGAGGGAGTGGGGCTCAGTGTCCTGTCCTTCCAGGGAGACCAACATGAAAGTGCGCCAGGCGATCCCCGTCACCTCGGAGCTGGGCGACATCAGCAAGCTTGCCAAGTTCGATGGTGAGTGGGGGTGCTTCTGCAGGGCCTCCAAAGGTGGGCCGGGCTCTGGGCTCCTGTGGGTCCCTGACTTCATGGAGGGAGAGCAGGTGAACCACTTGCTTCAGGGGAGTTCTGTGGGTGATAGTTCCCACTTATTGTGCATGTTGGGAGAAATTGGCCTCATTCCTTTTGCTTGTTAACTCAGAATAATGATGTGCGCTCCTTATCAGAAGACAAACTATGGAGCATGTAAGAGAAGTTAACACAGTAGTTTGTCCTCCCTCCAGTTCAGTCCTTCTCGGTAGCCACATTGACTGATAATTCAGTTTGTATTCATTTACACTTTTCTTTTGGTACCGGGGATTGAACTCAGGACCTTGTGCTTGCCAGGCAGGAGATGGGGCAGGAGATGGCACCCCGAGCTAAATCCCCAGCCCTATCAACATTTTTTTTTTGTTGCAGTACTGGGTATTAAACCCAAGGCCTCTGTGTGTGTGTGTTTTGTTTTGGTTTTTTGGTTTTAAACAGGGTCTTGGCTAAGTCACTGAATTAGCCTGGCTGGGCTTGAATTTGTGATCCTCCGGGAGTGCTGGGATTGTAGGTGTGCACCGCCATGCGCAGCTCCTCTGGACTTTCTACATAGGTTTATGGAAACACGTAGACATAGTTAAATGTAATTCTGTTATGCTGAGGTCTGTGCAGTCTGCCCTTTCTCAGACTTGTCACATGCATCATAGGTATCATCACATCAGTGTATGAAACATTTGCCCCCTTTTTTGAGGCAGGGTCTCACTAGTAGTTCAGGCTGGCCTTGAACTCGGCAGTCCTCCTGCCTCAGCCTCCTGAGTGTAAGGATTGCAGGTGTGCCCACCAGGCCCAGCATTTTTTGTGCTTCTAGTAAGCGCCCACGCCGTCCCACCTTTCTGAGAAGTTGCATCAGCTCACACTGCCGCCAGTAGTGCTTGCAGCTCTTGCCTCGTCCCTCAGCTGCTCTTTGCTTCTCGCTGCTTTGTGGCTGTGCTGTAACTGGGACCTTGAGCAGTGGTACTCCTCTCCCATCCAGGGGAGGTGATCTGCGAACCCCCCAATAACAAACTGGACAAATTCAGCGGAACCCTGTACTGGAAGGAGAGCAAGTTCCCCCTGAGCAACCAGAACATGCTGCTGCGAGGCTGTGTGCTGCGAAATACAGAGTGGTGCTTCGGGCTGGTCATCTTCGCAGGTGAGCCCCACGCGCTCAGAGGGGAGGAGGAGTCAGGGACCTGGCCCTCCCTGCAGAGTGTGGAGGAGGTGTGGGTTGGTGGAGGGAAGATGTAGGTCAAAACGTGCAGCCCTGAACACAAGCGTCTCGTCCACCCAGGGGGCAGCCTGGGGGCCGGCGCCCAAGTCTGGAGGCAGGGTTGTTATTTGGCTTTGAACCTTCCCTAGGTCCTGACACTAAGCTGATGCAGAACAGCGGCAGGACGAAGTTCAAGAGGACAAGTATTGACCGGCTGATGAATACGCTGGTGCTCTGGGTGAGCCTCTTCCCGCCTCTGCCCTCTACTTTTCCCTGGTCAGCAGGCTTTGGGCTGGGCTGTGAAGCCACTGATAGGCCAGCTACTGGAAGGCAGTGTTTACTTCAGTCTCCTGTAGCCTGGGAAGATGTTATGTTAAAGAACTTCAGGCATAAATCAACAGTTTAAAGCTGAAACAAGTCGTCCCTTCTCTGTCTCCTGGTTGTGATGGTCTGGTACAGCCTGTGACCCCATATTTGCCTCTGCTGGGTACAAGGAAGCCTTCATAGGGTGGAGAGGCCACAAGGAGAAAGATTTCCATTTGGAAGCTGGTTAGTGAGGTCCTTAACCCTAGCTTCTGAGGGTGGAGGTTCTCAGAGGAAAAGTTTCCCTTTTCATTTTTGGCAGTTCCTGAATCCTTCTCTTGTTCAGCTAGAATCTGAGCTCCTATCCGGCCTCTCTCTGCCGCTGGGGCCTCCACCTGCTGCCTGCCCTGTGTGTTGTGGCTTCCAGATGTTGGGCCACCGTCTGTTCAGAGTTTGTGCCTAGGCTGGAAAGGGGTCACAAAAACCCAGCCTGATTCCTCAAATAACACGTTCTGTTGTTTTAAAAAGATTTCGATGTATATGCTGATTTGTTTCATTTTTACTAATAGTTTATCTTAGTTCATTTGAAAGAAAGTTTGGGGCTGGGGATTTAGCTCAGTGGTTCGGTGGCCTGCTTTGCAAGCGCAAGAACCGGAGTTCAATCCCCGGTACCAAAAAAAAAACCAAAAAACAAAAAACAAAGAAAGTTTGTGTTATCTGTTTCTTTTTTGCAGAATTTCTTTGGTTTATGTCTTGTACAGAGTAACTACTTTGAAAATAATGATACACACTGTAATAACTTATTCTCTTACTTGGTTATGAAAGTTTGCTTTATTTTTTTTAGTTAAAAATAAAAACCCCACCTGGCGTGGTGGCACACGCCTGTAATCCCAGCACTCGGGAGGCTGAGGCAGGAGTATCATCACTGTGAGTTCAAGACCAGCCTGGGCTACATAGTGAGTTCCAGGTCAGTCTCAACTACATAGTGAGACCCTGTCTGAAAAAACCAAAAAAAACAAAAACCAAAAAAAAAAAACCCAAGCCAGGCTGTGGGCCACGTGGCCTGTGATCCCAGCACTGAGGCAGTGCTGAGCGTTGGAAGCCAGCTTGGCTACATAGTTCGGGGCCTGCACTACAAAGGGCAGCAGTGCCTCAAACAAAACAAACAAATAAATGAAAATTAAGAACCCCAGCCCAAGAGAGTGTGGTTAAGCCTGTCCCACGGAGGCTTACCTGCCCCGGTGGTCTTTGAGCACCAGGTGAGTCCTGTTTCAAAGCCTCGGCAGTGGAGGCTGCTTTGAAATGAGACATGAGAAGTCATGTAGTGGTCTTGATTATTTTCTTGTGGTCACCAAAACTTCCTTAGGATCCTTCTTCAGAGTCAAGTACGGTGGCCTGCACCTGTGATCCCGGCTGGGAGGCTGAGGCAGGAGGAGGGCAAGTTTGAGCCCAGCCTGAGTGAAGCTTCTCTTGACAGCAAAATCTTGTTTCAAAATTTTTAAAACAAGGGCTGGGGATTTAGTGCATATGAACGCCCTCAGTCCAATCTCCAGTGCTGGAAAAAAATTGCTGTTCACAAAAGTAGTTTGTAATCCTGGTTTAAAAAACGGCACTGTGTATAGACCACAGATGTTGTAGCGTGGGATTTTTGCCAGCTGCGAAAGCTGCCCAGGTACAAGAGTGTTTTGGTTTGAGGAAAGCTCACCCCACTGTCAGCACCTTTGTGGACTTCTCAGTGCTCCAGCGTCCCCTCCCTGCACATGAGGACTGTCCAGGGAGCAGCTGCATGAGCGCAGACCCACAGGCCTGGGGCTCTGAGCCTGGTGGACGTGCTGCCAGCCAGGCGTCCAGGCTTTGAGGGCCCTGGCACGAGCGGTGACCATCCTCGGGGACACCTTGCTTTGTGGCTTCCCAAGCCTCCACTAGCCTCAGCTTCTCACTCCCCAGATCTTTGGATTTCTGGTCTGCATGGGGGTGATCCTGGCCATCGGCAATGCCATCTGGGAGTACGAGGTTGGGACACGCTTCCAGGTCTACCTGCCCTGGGACGAGGCGGTGGACAGTGCCTTTTTCTCCGGCTTCCTTTCCTTCTGGTCCTACATCATCATCCTCAACACCGTCGTGCCCATCTCGCTGTATGTCAGGTGTGTGCTTTCTCTGACCTGGGATCCCTTGGGGCTCCTCAGCAAAGTTTTCTGTGAAGATGAAATCCTTGGGAAGAAATGTGGAGCCTTCTCCTGACTACTGTGAACACTTTTTGTTACCTCTTTATCTTCGTGTGCAGAGCAAAGTTTTACCCTAAAATTTCCTGGTACTTGGGACTATATCAGAACAGTCACCATAGTGACTTCTTCAGCACGTACTTGCTACGTGCTGTCCGTGTGCCAAGGATCACAGAGGTGCTGTGGTATATGCAGAGATGAACCAGGAATGGATTTCCTCCCTGCTAGAAGCTTAAGTCTGGTAGTTGAAGGAAAATCTCAGCATATCACAAAGCAAAATAGGAGAAAGGTAGAAGTCATTCTACCTGGAGCATTTCATGTAGAGCTGGGGCCCTGGGTGTGTCACATAGCTTCCTCCTTCAGAAGCAGCAGCACCAGGCACTGAGATACCAGGTGGGAAGCTCCAGGGACGTGAGGCTGAAAGCACCTCCCTCCCAGGCAGGCAAGGCAGGCAGGCAAGTAGGTGGACTCCTCAATGGTTGCACTAAGGTGGGTGAAGATGGAGCTGGAAGTGAGAGGTGAAAGCGAAGTCTGAAAGCAGAGGCAAGGGGGCAGGAACTGGCAGCTTCTTCAGGAAGACTTAGGCAGGGGCTGCCCCAATTCTGGAGTTTGGTGTCTGCCTGTGCTTGGCAAACCTATAAAGGTTTTTTTTGAGGGGATACCGGGGATCAAACTTGGGACCTTAAGCTTGCAAAGCAGGAGCAGAACCACTGGGCTAAATCCCTGGCCCTTGTTTTTATTTTAAATCTAGCCAGGCATGGTGGTGCACACCTGTAATCCCAGCCCTTGGGAGGCTGAGGCAGGAGGATTACTGTGAATTCAAGGCCAATCTGGGCTACATAGTGAGTTCAAGGCCAGTCTGTGCTACATAGTGAAACTGTCTCAAAAAAACAATCAAAAATGAAAATAACCTGCTTGCTTATAAACTGAGGTGGATCTCCCATCTTTGTAGTCCCTGGTGTATATTTCTTGGTTTTTTTTTGTTTTGTTTTGGTTTTGGTTTTGTTTTTGAGACAGGGTCTCACTATGTAGTTGAGCCTGACCTGGAACTCACTATGTAGCCCAGGCTGTGCACCACCATGCCCAGCACCCTGGTGTATATTTCAGTTGTCTGGGCTGTGGTTGCTGCCTCAGGAGGGTTACTTTCTAAGCCTCATCGGGTCACGGTGTCCTTGGAGAAGGGTGAAATGGCAGGAGGAAGGCGGTGCTGACCTTCCAGCTTTCTTGATATGCTTGGTAGCAGAACCTGATGGTCCCTCTGGTGGGTCTGAAGCAGGACCTGGCCATCCTTAGTCGCATGGAGCCAGACTCGGTCCCTGACCCCACGGTAACAACTAGCAGTGGGCACAGAGGCCGTGGGCACTCTGCCCCGTACAGGGTCCTCCCTGCTCCCGAGCCCCTGGTGTGGGGGAGTGCGGAGTGGGCGGCTGCAGAGCCGTCTGGTGCCCTCCCCGGCGCGCCTGGTGCTGCAGCACACACAGCACCCTCATTATCTCTCTCTCTCTCTCCCTCCCTCCCTCTCGCACTTGCTCTTGTTTTTTCTCTGCATGGTTTCTGTGTTGTTAGTCCTGAGGTAAGAACTGGTTGAGTGTCTGGTCCACAGTTCCTTTGCTCCTCTATCCCTGCCTGCCCAGGCCCTGTGCACCTCATGTCTGGAGCGGTCAGGAGGGTCGGGCGGGGAGACGTGGCCACGCCTTGCCCTTCCCACCCAGGTCCCGCGCCCAGATGTCCGCCCCCTTCCCCGGCGGAGGGCCGCAGCCCGGCCTTCCCCAGCCTCACCTCCCGTCCCCCGTGCAGTGTGGAGGTCATCCGGCTGGGCCACAGCTACTTCATCAACTGGGACAAGAAGATGTTCTGCACGAAGAAGCGCACGCCCGCGGAGGCGCGCACCACCACCCTGAATGAGGAGCTGGGCCAGGTGGAGTACGTCTTCTCCGACAAGACGGGCACCCTCACGCAGAACATCATGGTCTTCAACAAGTGCTCCATCAGCGGCCGCAGCTACGGTAGGGTAGCGCTGCAGGCCCGGCCTTGTGCGCTCTTCCTGCCATTGGATTTTACTTCTCTTCGTGTGAGTCTGAGGGGCCGAGGGGCTGTTCTCTCGTGCTGGGCAGCAGGGACTGAGGTTCCTGCCTTTTATCCCTGAAGCCCTTTCCCGGCTCTCAGCTCCTAGCTGTGTGAAGAAGCCCCAGACCTTGGCCTGGGGCACCTGGCCAGGCTGGACCTTGGCTGCCCTGGTGGTGCACTAGACTCGCTGTATGAGTGACTTCCGGTGTGGCGGTTGTGCTGACCCGGACTCTGTGTAAGGCGCTGTCTGCTGTGTAGGCCTGGAGCGTGCTGGGCCTGGAGGTGGAGCACTGCTGGGCTGGCGGGATGGGCAGTGACTCCTATGGTCAAGATCCGGGGTTCCTGCGTTCCAGGTTCAGGGTGCCTATTGGCTGATGTGCCGAGGGTTCCCAGGCCTCGGGTTCTGGATTGGAGGCTTTCCCCCTGCTCCAGAGCTCTGGCACTGACCTTGCCTCTGCTGTCTTGGCTTTGTGTAGGAGACGTGTTCGATGTCCTGGGACACAAAGCTGAATTGGGAGAGGTGAGATTCGGTCTCTATAATTGTTCTGTGCTCTGAGCCAAGCGTGGTGGTGGTGGATGCCTGTGATCCCAGCACTTAGGAGACTGAGGCAGGAAGATCACTGCAAATCTGAGTCCAGCCTGGGCTACAGAGTGAGACCCTGTCTCAAAAAACAAGAGAAGAAAACAACCACTGTATGGTCCAGTCATGCTTTGACCGGCAACTGGTTGCAGTGGGAGCCACGCGCTGTCTGGGCAGGAGGTGGAGCTGCGAGCTGCCTGCAGTGATGCCTACTTTAGGGGCGATTGGCGTGGGCGCTGGGGTCACAGCGGGAGGCGGGGGCAGGCCCTCTCCTGGCATGCAGCCCACCGGCCCGCGTTTCCTGAGTGCCACCTCCCCCTTTTCAGAGGCCCGAACCCGTTGACTTCTCCTTTAATCCTCTGGCGGACAAGAAGTTCTTGTTTTGGGACCCCAGCCTCTTGGAGGCTGTGAAGATGGGGGACCCCCACACGCATGAGTTCTTCCGCCTCCTTTCTCTGTGTCACACGGTCATGTCGGAAGAGAAGAGTGAAGGTGAGCTGCAGCCGGCTCGGCTGTGCCCAGCCCGGTCTGTGCTCTCGGCTCTGTTGGCCTGGGGTGCCTGGGTGGGGCTGTGGCCGCTTCCACCGTGCGCCTTGTTTCTCTGCCCAGGAGAGCTGTACTACAAAGCCCAGTCTCCGGACGAGGGCGCCCTGGTCACTGCAGCGAGGAACTTTGGGTTCGTGTTCCGCTCTCGCACCCCCAAGACCATCACCGTCCACGAGATGGGCATAGCCATCACCTACCAGCTGCTGGCCATCCTGGACTTCAACAACATCCGCAAGCGCATGTCAGTGATAGGTGAGGCCGGGGACTGAGGAGCTGGGGTGGCAAGGTGTGACGTGACTGTCCAGCGGCATCTGGGCCAGCACTTCCTGTTCGTCCGTCCATCCATGTCCGTCTGTCCGCTCGCAGTGCGCAGCCCTGAGGGGAAGATCCGCCTGTACTGCAAAGGGGCCGACACCATCCTACTGGACAGACTCCACCGCTCAACCCAGGAGCTGCTCGGCCCCACCTCAGACCACCTAAACGTAGGTGTGAGGGAAGCTCCTGGGCACCAGGGGGTGTGACCTACTTCCTGGTGTGTTTTTTGTCATTTATTATGTTTAAGGTACCTAGCACATTTTAATATTCGTATATGTGTGGTTTTTGTAGTCAAGCAAATGACCCACATTTCCTCTCGCACCATTGCCTCTTATGTGTGTGCCCTGGGAGTGAACTCAGGCCTTCCCAATGAGCTCCATCCAGCACTTTTTAAATCTTGAGACAGGGTCTTCTTAGGACTCTTAGTTGCCCAGGCTGAGCTCAAACACGTGATCCTCCTGCCTCAGCCTCCCAAGGTGCTGGGCTTACTGTCACGCAGCACCACAAAGCATCTTACATGTGTGTGTGTGTGTAGAACTCCTAAAACTTTCCTGCCATCCATCATCAGCTCCCTGGACATACTGGTGTGTGACTTTCGAACCTTGTCCTCAGGAGTATGCAGGGGAAGGGCTGAGGACCCTGGTTCTGGCCTACAAGGATCTGGATGAAGAGTACTACGAGGAGTGGGCTGAGAGACGGCTGCAGGCCAGCCTGGCCCAGGACAGCCGGGAAGACAGGCTGGCCAGCGTCTATGAGGAGGTTGAGAGCAACATGATGGTAAGTGTGCAGGCGAGCCACGGTGAGCAGCAAGGGCTCGAGCCTGCCGCACTCGTGCCGGGACAGTGGCCCTGTGTGATTTGCAGCTGCTGGGTGCGACAGCCATCGAGGACAAGCTTCAGCAGGGGGTTCCAGAGACCATCGCCCTCCTCACTCTGGCCAACATTAAGATTTGGGTGCTAACTGGGGACAAGCAAGGTGAGGCCTGCGGGGCAGAGGGAATTACGGACAGTAGTGCTACCTGGCCCTGGTGTGGGGCTGTGGCCGCCAGGCGGGAGGTGAGCTGACCTTGCGGTTGCCTCCCATGCCCCTGCCTCTCTCCTGGTAGAGACGGCTGTGAACATTGGCTACTCCTGCAAGATGCTGACAGACGACATGACAGAGGTGTTCATAGTCACTGGCCACACTGTCCTGGAGGTGCGAGAAGAACTCAGGTAAACGAGGCTTGAAGGAGGCAGTGCCCTGTGAGGCACCTTGGGGTCAGCAGGCTGGAGCCTGCTCCCTGCGCTGGCCTGGCAGACAATACCATTTCGTTCCACCTGCACAGAAAAGCCCGGGAAAAGATGCTGGACTCATCCCGCGCGGTAGGCAATGGCTTCTCCTACCAGGAGAAACTGTCTTCTTCCAAGCTGGCTTCTGCCCTGGAGGCCGTTGCTGGGGAATACGCCCTCGTCATCAACGGTCACAGCCTGGTAAGTGTTGCCATGCTCAGCCACGCTCAGCCTGGTGACACGAGAGCACTTACTTGTTTCATTCCCTTTTCCTTACAGGAGGGACGGGGGAGAGGGGAGGAGCTGGCTCCAGGCTCTGTGGATGACCGAGCCCCTCTCGGTGTCCCTGTGTTCCAGGCCCACGCATTGGAGGCAGACATGGAGCTGGAGTTTCTGGAGACGGCATGTGCCTGCAAAGCTGTCATTTGCTGCCGGGTGACCCCCTTGCAGAAGGCGCAGGTGGTGGAACTGGTGAAGAAGTACAAAAAGGCTGTGACACTGGCCATTGGGGATGGGGCCAATGATGTCAGCATGATCAAAAGTGAGTGGCTTGCGGTGTGGGTGGGGCGGGTGTCCGCGGAGGTCTCGGGCAGGGCCAGGGGACGGGAGAAAGGCCGTTACCTGGTGGACTCCACGCTGTGTGGCTCTGTCTTCACTTTCCTGTCATCTCTTGTCTCATAGCGGCTCACATTGGTGTGGGCATCAGTGGGCAGGAAGGGATCCAGGCTGTGCTGGCCTCCGATTACGCCTTCTCACAGTTCAAGTTCCTGCAGCGCCTGCTGCTGGTGCATGGGCGCTGGTCCTACCTGCGCATGTGCAAGTTCCTCTGCTACTTCTTCTACAAGAATTTCGCTTTCACCATGGTCCACTTCTGGTTTGGCTTCTTCTGCGGCTTCTCGGCCCAGGTAGCGAGTGTTCCCATCTTTTGATATGTGTTCTTTGTGGACTTCTTAAGGGCAGAGATTATGTTTGTTCTCTGTTGCCCAGGCCTGCTGTCTGGTGCATGCTCTAAGGGAGATGTGCTGGGGGTGTAGCTGAGTGGTGCTGCACCTGCCTGGCAAGTGCAAGGTCCTGAGCTCTATCTCTGGTACTGCAAAAAAAAAAAGACGAGAGCAAGCTGGAGAAATCCCGTAGAACGCCCTGGGTTTCACATTTGCTCTCCTCCGGTGCCTGATTTTGTTTTTTTGTTTTTTTGTACCGGAAATCAAACTTGGGACCTTGAGCCTCCGGGCAGGCGGTGAAACCACTGAGCTAAATCTCCAGCCCCCGTTGCCCGATTTGTAGCCAAGAAAGGCTAAGTGCTCATTCTGTTCCTGATGTTCTCTTCCAGACCGTGTATGACCAGTACTTTATCACCCTGTATAACATTGTGTACACCTCCCTTCCAGTCCTGGCTATGGGGGTCTTTGATCAGGTATGGGGGGATTTGGGGCTCAGGAAAAATGGGAAAACAGTCTGTGACAGCATCCCCCCCCCCCGTTACAGGGCGTAGCACCTGTGTCTCCCCAGAGGTGGTGGCCCCGTAATGACTGTCGGGGCCGCTGTCTGGTTGGGCAGGGTCTGCCCAGACCACCCTGAGCCTCCTTGGCCATGCGCCTCCCCACACAGGATGTCCCAGAACAGCGGAGCATGGAGTACCCCAAGCTGTACGAGCCGGGCCAGCTGAATCTCCTCTTCAACAAGCGGGAGTTCTTCATCTGCATTGCCCAGGGCATCTACACGTCCGTGCTCATGTTCTTCATCCCCTACGGGGTGTTCGCGGAGGCCACCCGGGACGATGGCACCCAGCTGGCCGACTACCAGTCCTTTGCAGTCACTGTGGCCACATCCCTGGTCATCGTGGTTAGCGTGCAGGTATAGGCTGGCCTGGAACTGACTGCTGGAGGGAGCGTGGCCGGGGGCTGCTCCCTGATGGCCCCTGCTTTCTGCAGATCGGGCTGGACACTGGCTACTGGACGGCCATCAACCACTTCTTCATCTGGGGCAGCCTCGCAGTTTACTTCGCCATCCTCTTCGCCATGCACAGCAATGGACTCTTTGACATGTTTCCGAACCAGTTCCGGTTTGTGGGTGAGGGCCTGCGGCCTTCCATGGGAGAGCAAGGAGCTACAGGTGGTCTGGGACAGGCAGGGTGGGCACCCATTGTGTCATGAATGCCAAGCAGCACTAGGAGCTCAGCAGAGCCTGGAGCTCTGCACCGGGCTGGGCTGGGTCAAGCAGGGCCACCTTATTCCGGCAGGTCGGAGGCTGTGGGAGGTCACGGTGGCTTGCTGGTTGGCAGAGATTCTGCTGGTGGGGTAGCCAGGGCTGATGTAGAGGAGCTTGGAGGGTGCAGAGGCCATGGGTTCTGGGGAGTGCACAGGACTGCAGGTGGTGAGGCGAGAGCCTGGCTGGAGTAGCAGAAGGGTCAAGAAGGCAGCCTTCATGGTCTTGGAACACCAGGCTGTGTGGATGGCTTTGGGTTTGCCAGGAGTTGTCACTTTTTCAGCGGAAGAGAGTCGAAGAACGTGGAGAGCTTGCTTTAGAAAGGATGGTTAGTGAGGAAGCTGCTGAGCTGAACTGGTACTGGGGTGGCCAGGGAGGGCCAGCTAGGGAGGAGGAGGTGCGTGGCCCTGCAGGCCTTGGTGCCTGCGGTTCTCATGGTGCTGGACAGGCAGCCCTAACAACAGGCACAGTGCTCCCTCCTGGGTTTGCATTTGCTTATGAGAAGGTGATTTGTGGGAGTCCTGAAGAGCCTCTGAGGCCGGTGCAGAGCTCAGTGGGAGAGGGCTTGCCTGGCATGTGTGTGGCCTTGGGTCCCATCAGAGCACAGATGAAAAATAAAGTATGGGGCAAAGGTGTGGGTGAGGAGACCAACTAGTGCCTGTTGTGTAACCAGGTGGGCGTTGGGGTGGTGTGGAGTGCAGTGAAAAGCAGTGGGGGTCCCCAGATGCCACGGAGATGGAGACCACGGAGCGGCACGGGGTGGTACTTCCTGTGCTGAGGGAGGCCGGGCAGAGTGGGCAGGGAGACAGCGTGCTCGCTGGATGTTCACAGAGATGTAATAGAGGGTTACGGGGGCTGCTGTGGGCCAGTGTCACATTTAAAGGTCAGCGTGTTGGGAGTGGGCCCGGGGAAAGGGGGAGCCACTACTGCCTACGGTCCTGAGCCCCGGGAAGTGGGACTGCCAGAGATAGTGCTCGGACATCAGGGGATGCTGCTGGCCACTTGGGAATTTCGGGGCCACCACCTCCTGTCTACCCAGGGAACGCCCAGAACACACTGGCCCAGCCCACGGTGTGGCTCACCATCGCGCTCACCACAGTTGTCTGCATCCTGCCTGTGGTCGCCTTCCGGTTCCTCAGGCTGAGCCTGAAGCCAGATCTCTCGGACACGGTGAGGGGCCGGACCGCCCACTCGGGGCCCCACTTGGAGCCCTGTGCAGCCGCGGCTAGGCTGCGGCACGACTCCTCGGGGTGTCTGCGGCGGTCGTCTCTGGGTCTTCTGTGGTGCGCTGATGGTGTCCCCTTCCCTGCCCACCCCAGGTCCGCTACACCCAGCTGGTGAGGAAGAAGCAGAAAGCGCAGCACCGCTGCATGCGCCGGGTGGGCCGCACGGGCTCCCGGCGCTCGGGCTATGCCTTCTCCCACCAGGAGGGCTTCGGGGAGCTCATCATGTCGGGCAAGAACATGCGGCTCAGCTCCCTGGCGCTCTCCAGCTTCACCACGCGCTCCAGCTCCAGCTGGATCGAGAGCCTGCGCAGGAAGAAGAGCGACAGCGCCAATAGCCCCGGCGGTGGGGCCGAGAAACCCCTCAAGGGGTGAAGACCGGACTGGGCGCAGCACGCAGGCCGGGCCCCAGGGACGGCCGCTTGGGCCTGCTGTCCTCACGCCTGACCTGCCGCGGCCCTGCCGCAGGGTGGTGGAGGGACCTGGGCAGAGCGGGGCTCGGCGTGGGGCACAGCCCCGAGGGGACCAGCTGTGGAGCCGAAACGGGGAAAAGTGGCAGCACGTCTGCCCCTGCCTGGCCGGGCCCCACAGGGAGACTCTAGTCTTATTTTTTTACTCCCATTCCTCAGGGGGCCCTAGAGCCCCTGTTCCTGAATTACACAAGAATGTATCATGCCGGGAAGCCAGAGACCTGCTGGGCTGCAGGCCCCTTGCGTTACGTCTGTCTCCTTCATTTGTGTTTGTACCTAGCTTGGTTTTACCTTTTTTTTTTTTTTTTAATTTAGCAGGCAGAGGAGAACTTTATGTGACTTTTCTGTTAAGTTGGTGTTTTAACTCTCCCAGGAAGAGGGACCTATCTGCCGGCATGGTTCCCTTGTGGGACAGAGGGGCCGCAGCCAGCCAGGCCGTCCGCTGAGTGGGGAAGTACGAGGCTTCGATCCTCACCCTCCTCACCCTGAACAGGGAGCGTGCCCTGCCCCGCGCACGTACATATCAGTTCCTGATCCTGTAAGTTCTGCTGGTGCTGGGCCGGAGCTGGACAGTGGCCCTGTCACTCTCAGCAAGCGGAAGCCATGTGTGAGATTTAGTCAAGGGGAGGTGATGTTCTTTTAAGTGGAGTCCCTAGTTCATCAGCAGATTCCCTTCCCCGCTTAGGTGGCACCGCAGGACCCCGAGATGGAGGAACGGGACAGGAAGCAGAGCCATGGAGGGCACTGGAAGGGAAGGGGAAGGCTGCCGCCCTGCTCCACCTCCCCATGGGTGAGGTCCCACCCTTGTGCCAGCGCCCGGGAGGAGCTGGCAGGGCCGTGTCCAGGGCTGAGGAGGAGGACGGCAGAACTGGGTGTAGGCCAGGAGACTGCTCAGGGCCAGGCTTGGTCAGGACCGGGCCCCACAACCTGGTCACAGCCTGGAGCTGTTTGCCATTCAGGCATTTCCCGAGGTGGTTGCTGCCCAGTGAGCCTGGGAAGAACCCGTCCATTCGGGCAGCTGGGGTTGGTGCAGGGACCTTGCTGGGCAGTGGGGGAGGGAGGAGCCAAGGAGCTGGAGTGTGGGACAGGTGGGGTGGGGACCGGGAAATCTTGGCAGGGAAACCCTTTGGCCACAGTTTACAAACTGAGTATCATGTCTGTATGTGTGTCTCTCAAGGTGAGAGTCTGATTTTTATTATTACAACTCAATGCAACTTGGTACTTTCCTCCCTCCCTAAAAAATGAGAGAGAACCCACAAAAAAATAATATATATAACTGTGTGTGTGTGTGTATAGATATATATATATATATATATATCTATACACACACACACACAGTTATATATATTATTTTTTTGTGGGTTCTCTCTCATTTTTTAGGGAGGGAGGAAAGTACCAAGTTGCATTGAGTTGTAATTAAGGAACATTATGTATAATTTATGACACATTTCTATACTTGCAAAAATTATATCATTTTATGGATAAAAAAGAAAATACCTTTTTATAAAATTCAATTTCTGAGAAGTGTGTAATTTGCCTCTTTTCTGCTACTGAAGGCTTTTGGGAAAGTGAAGAGAAGCTGTCCCCTAAACGGAGTGAGTGGGTGCATCTGGGCGGGGTGGGGACAGTGCCCCCTCCCCGTGCACCCCAGGTCTGAATGTGGGGGTGGAAGTAGGGCCTAGGGATTTGTGTCCGGCTGATGGCTCAGGGCCTTGAGGGGCCACTGCCCTAGTGCAGGCCATCGTCCCTGAGGCTAGCCGGGCGGGTGTGTGTAGGGAAATGTGTAAGGGTTTTTCCTCTTTTTTTTGAGATGGCGCAGGTGTTTATTACGGGCCACGGCGCCCCTGCGTGCCTGTGGGCCATTCTGGGGACCGTGAGCTGGGTGTCCCTCCTCTTGGCCCCTTTGCTGAGCCCCCTCCCAAGCAGGGCTCCTGGGCTGGTATGGCTTCCCTGTCACTGTGCCCTGCACCAGGGGGCCGTGAACGGGAGGTTGAGCACCTCTGGCCGTCACGTCCAGGTCAGATGTGGAGTGCTGCTGGGAACACCCCGACCTCAGCCAGCCGGGCAGCCGCTGCCCTGCACCCAGGCACCTGGGTACAGCTGGGAGCTGTGCCCTCCAGCAGCCTGCAGACCTCATTGACCCTCTGTGTCAGGTTGAGCCCCTCTCCCCCATTTCTGGTCCTGTCAGCCTGGCAGACTCAGTTTCCTGGGGATCAAAGGCTCGGCAACTTCGGCTTCGGCTCAGCCTTCTGGAGCCCTGGAGTCCCAGGCTCCCAGCTTGGGGGAGATTGCAGGGCAGGAGGCCAGGTAGAGGCTGAGGACTGGTCTCTAGGCCCCTCAGGCGACCGGAAGTCTGAACTGACTGGCCCGGGGAAGCAGGCTTTCCCTGGAGCAGGGCCTTTGAGGGGTTATTTTTGTTCAGTTGAACCCAGGGCCTTGTACTCAGCTATATTCCCCGCCAACTTTTTATTTTAGGTTTGAGGCAAGGTCTCACTAAATTGTCCAGGGTGACCTTGAACTTGTGATCTTCCCAGCTCAGCCTCCAGAGTAGATGGGATTACAAGCCCGTGCCATCATGCCTGACTTTCTTTCTTTCTTTTTCTTTTGAGATGGGGATCTCTATGTGATCCAGGCTAATGACCAAACTCATGATCCTCCTGCCTCAGCCTGCAGAATGTTGAGACTACGGGCCTGTACCAATGCACCTGAAATCCCCCCAGCTCCAGTCTCCCAGCTTCACAGCTTCTTGGCTTTTCAGGTGACCCTCAAGGAGCTGAAATGGAGGAGGTCTTGATGAACAGGCTGCAGGGTGATGGGGAGAGGACACAGGAGAGCCAAGGCCAGGCCATGGTGCACCGGGTGGCGCACAGCTCCTGCCCAAGACCCCAGCAACAGGCCCCGTCCTGCCCCAGGGGTGCTGCATCCTGACCGGCCTCTTCGGTCCTGGGGCAGTGCTTTTCCTTCCTGGGGGACAGAGTCCCAGGATTCCCTTCCCCTTCACCACTCCCTTGTTCCCCTTCTCAGTTGAACATTTCCTATTTTTCAGTATCTGTCCTCCATTATACTCCTTACCTTTGAGTTTCTCACCAAAGAGAAACAATGCAGTACTTAAAACTTGTGTGTCTGATTTATTCACGTGAGATTGTGCTCTTGAGGTGCATCCATTTTCCTATGAATGACTCAAGTTTATCATTATGGCGGAGTAGTGCTCCGTTGTACATAAACACGACATTGTCTTCATCCGTTCATCTGTGTATGGGGATGTGGGCTGTTTTCACGATTTAGCTGTTATAAATTGTGCTGCTCTAAATGGGTGTGCATGTGTCGCTGTGGTGTGATGCCTTTAACTCTTTTTGGGGCAAATGCCTAGAAGGGGAATAGCTGGGTCACATGGAAACTCTGCTTACAGTTTTCTGAGGAATCTCATACTGGTTTCCACAGTGGTTGTACCCATTTACACTCGTACCAACAATGGAGAAGGGTTCCTTTATTCCTGGCATCTTTGCCAGCATTTGTTACTGGTTGATTTCTTGATGAGACAACCATTCTTTGTTTTTTCCAGTACTGGATCACACTCAGGACCTTGCATTTGTCAGGCAGGTGCAGTGCTGCTGAGCTACATCCCTGGTTCCTCCTTGTTGTAATTTGCATTTCTCGGGTGACCAGAGATGGTGAACATTTTCTCCTGTATTTATGTGCTGTTTCTACTTTTTTCTCTAAGAAGTGTCTGTTCATTTCAGATGCCCATTTTTGGATTGGGTCTTTAAATTTGAGGGGTCTGGGTTTTTTTTTGTTTTTTTGTTTTTTTTTAGTTCTTTATACATTATAGATGTTAGTCCTTTGTCTGAGGAACAGCTGGTAAAATTTTTTTCCTGTTCTGTAGGTTGTCCCTTCACTCTGTTAGAGATCTCCGCTGTGTGCAGCTTTTCCATTTGATGAGATCCCGGTTGTTGATTCTTTGTGATAGTTCCTGTGCAGTTGAGGTTTTGTTCATAAAGTCTTTACCTACATTATGTCTTCTAGAATTCTACCTATTCTGTCTTCCAGCAGATTGTTTCTGTTTTAATATTTAGATCTCAGATCCATTTTGATTTTAATTTAGTTGTTGGTGAGAAATAAGGATCTAGGTTCAATTTGTGGCATATGGAAAGCCAGTTTCCCAGCCCCATTTATTAAGGTGGTTATCTTTCTTCCTGTGAAGATGTTTGGCCCCTTTGTCAAACATAATGTAACTGAATGTTCTTGGAGTTGTTTCTGCATCCTGAATTCTGTTCCACTGATCCTTGGGTGTTTTACTTGCCGGTACCATGCTGTTTTTTTTTTTATCATAATAAAAATAGTAGTATAACTTTGTAATATAACTTCACATCAGGGATTGTGATGTCTTGCTTTGCCTTGCTTTTGTTGCCCAGAATTGCTTTTGCTATTCTGGGTCTCTCCTGGTTCCATATTAATTTTAGGATAGTTATCTCTAATCCTATGAGATACATTATTGGTATTTTGATTGGGATTGCATCAAATCTGTATAACAACTTTGAAAGTATGGCCATTTTCACTATTTTGGTTCTTCCTATCTAAGAACAATGAATATCTTTCCGTTGTCTGATATCCTTTTTGATCTCCTTTTTCAGAGTACTATAGTTCTTTCTTTTTGGAGACAGAGTCTTTATAGTTCAGGCTGGCCTTGAACTCATGGTGATGCTCCTGTCTCAGCCTCCCAAGTGCTGGGATTACAGGTATGCACCACTATGCCCAGTGGTACTGTAGTTTCAATGAAGATGTCATTCACTTCCTTTATTAGATTGATTCCTAAGTATTTCATTTTTCTTGATGCTATTGTAAAGGATGTTGTTTCCCTGATTTCTCTCTCAGTGAGTTTGTTATTTGTATACAGGAAGGCTATTATTTTTTCAGTATTGACTTTGTATTGTATCCTGCTGTACTACTGAATTTGGTTATTAAATCTAGAAGTATTTTCATGGTTTTTCGGGTCTCCCATGTAGAGTATCACATCATCAACAAATAATGTTAACTTAACTTGTTCCTTTTCTATCCTTATTCCTTGTATTTCTTTTTCTTGTGTAATTGCTCTGGCTAATGTTTCCAGCACCATAATGAACAGGAGTGGTGACAGTGGACGTCCTTGTCTTGTTCCTAATTTTATATTTTTTCCAGTACTGGGGATTGAACTCAGGGTTTTCATTAAAGAATTTGAGGAGTAGTACCATTAGATTTTCTCTAAAGCTCTCGTAGAATTCGGCAGTGAATCTGTCAGGACCTGGGTTTTTCTTGTTTGGTTAGCTTTTTTCTTACAGCTTTTATTACTTCAGTTTCATTGACTGATACTGGGTTATTTGGCATTTTTATATTTCATGATTTAGCTTTGATAATTCATATGTATATAGGAATCTGGCCATTGTTTCTGAGTTTTCCATCTTATTAAACTTCTCAAAGTAGGTATTGATGACCATCTGGATTTCTGCAGAACTCATGATTTATTTTGCCCTTTTCATTACTAATTGTATGATTTGGGTCTTCTCTCTTTTTGATAAGGTTGGCTAAAGGTTTGTCAATTTTATTTAATCTTTCAAAGAATTTTCAATTTCAGTGAATCTTCAATTCATTGATTCTTTGTGTTGTTTTTAGTATCGACTGCATTAATTTCTGATTTGATCTTATAATTTTCTCCATCATATGCACTTTGGATTTAACTGGCTCTTCTTTATCTAGAAACTTGAGGTTCAACATTAGTTTATTTATTTGAGTTCACTCTGTTTTTCTGATAATGGAAATTCACCACTATATGTTTTCCTCATAGGACTGCTTTCACTGCGTTCCATAAGTTCCAGTATATCATTTTTCTATTATTGTTTAATTGTCAAAACTGTCTAATTTCTTAATTTCATCTGTGACCCATTGGTTGTTCAGGAGGTGGTTGTGTAATTTCCATGTGTTTATGTAATTTTTTTTTTCTTTTGCCATTGATTTCCAATTTCATAATATGTATGGGATAATTTCAATTCTTTGCATTTACTTAAGTGTGTTTTATGAGTTAATATGTGGTCTATTTTGGAGAAAGTCCTATACGCTGCTGAGGACACTATACTTATCTACTAAGTCCATTTGTTCAAAGGTTTTGTTCAGTTCTGAAATTTCTTTGTTGATTTTTCATCTAGTTGATCTATTTGTG